AAAACCCTAATTGCTTCTAAATTAATTTTGATGCTTTGACTCACAAATTCCACATAGCCTAATTGCATATTGCATGAACAAGTATATATATATATATTGACAAAATATATGAACATATATACAATATATATAATTGGAAGGAAAATATAAATATAAGGGGTTCATGCATCATGGAGAATGTTTTCATGCTTCAAGGTTTTTTCAAATTCTTAATTTATTTTATAAGAACTTGATTGGGAGAAAATAATTGAAAGCCTTTGATTTTGTAGAAGAAAGCTTCCTCCATGATCCTTCAGTTTCTTAACTTTTGGCAAGAGCTTGCTAATAACATATTGTAGGCCAATTTGACTGAACTGTATAAAGGACAAAGAGGGAGAAGGGTTGTCGGCAACAGAGAGAGAAGAGAGAGATGTAATTCTAAAGTGTGTGTTGTATCACCTAATTGTGTCTTTATTTATAGTGGTAGGGAAGGTTAAATTTTTATCCTATTAGGATTACAACTCTAATAGGAATTAAACTACTAGAGAGAATATACAAGATACTCCTAAATATACTAGAATTTACATAATCACATTCCTAATCCAATAGGACTGCAACACATATCTGTTTTTGTTGGACGAACTCACCTCTCGAGAAATTCATTATAAAACCATTGTTGTGTTGCAAGTGATACATATCCGAAAATACAATAAAGTTGAGATTCTATTATATAGTAGTACGTAAAGTAATTCAATTCTTATAAGAATATACAGAGTATTTTTTTTTTCCAATATAAAATTCATACTCGTTTAAAAATAATTATTCCATATGACAATAAATATAGATGCCACGTGTAATAGTATTAAGGCTAGGCTAAATGTAAACTCGACACATGTTAGAACGATATTCTTGTCACCCCACAAGACATGCACAGTAGACGGACTGATGTAAGGCTTTATGATTTTTGGTCAAATACTGACGTAATCATGTGCCTTCACAAACAATTATTTTCTCACGTATTAGTTTCTAGAAAGTTCTTGAATTCTCTCAAATGTATATGTTTCCCTTCAAAAAATACCTAAAGCTGAACTTAGAAGGGGGGCAAAAAATGAATCGAAAGATTCCCACTACACGACAAAATAATTTAATATTTTCAACTTCCAAGGGGGGCAGAAGAAGAATGTGAATGTCCTCGTATTGGAAGCTCAAGACTCAATTATATATTTGCACCTTCAATTTTAGTAGTTATTCTGTTTGGGTCTTTAAACATTTTTTTGTGCCAAATTGGCCCCTAACCTTCTTAAAATGCGTGGTAAAATGAGTACAACGCTAACTCGTACAAAATTTGATAGAATTTACTGGTGGAATTAACAAAACAACAACTCATATTGCAATATGTATATAAAAGAAGTTAAAATCATCTTCTTTTAATTTTTTTTTTTTTTTTTTTTTTGTGAAATGGGATGATTGTGTGTAATCTGTATATATATAAAGCCAGTGCCCCAATTTGCGGCCACGACTTCACCAAACAATTTTGGACAAAATGCTTTCAAGACAAAAATGTTCAAAAGCAGCCCAATATAATGTATCAAATAATGCAAGGGTATTTTCGTCATATAAACATTATTTTTTTAATAATTAATTTTTATTGTATAGTGATTTATATATATATATATATATATATATATATATATAATTAGTACATCACAATAGACTAGCAATAATGTGATTCAATCAGTTATTTATTAAATTTTTTTTTTCTTGTTTTTTAAACACGTTCAATACATCTTAAGAAGCGTGTAGTGCTAGTTATAAAAAAGACCTCTCGCACGCGCATAATGTGATTCAATTAGTTGTCAAATGATTTTTTTTTTTTTTTAGCAAACGATATTATCTACACTAAGGGGGATGGGGGCTTAGCCTCACAATGGACTAGTAATAATGTGATTCAATCAATTGTTTATAAAATATTATTTTTTCTATTTTTAAACACGTTCAAAACATCTTAAAAAAAGCCTTTTGCACGTGCACAATAATGTGATTCAATCAATTGTTTATTTGTGAAACCCCGCCCTAAATTAATTGTAATTTCATATTAACAGGAATTATGAGATTACCATTTTGCCCTTATCCATCACCCTATTCGGATCCCCCTTCCCTTTTTAGATTTTCTTATAACACTCATTCTCTCTCTATGCTTGCCATGTGGCACCACCCCCACCTCTTATCTCCCTCTTTCTTCTTCTCTCTTTTCCCCAGAGTCACACACACACTCTCTCTCCCACACTCTTTCTCCTTCTTTCCGAACCTACACACACCCACACACCCAAGATCGAGACAATGACAGTCGACGACACTACCCTCCACCATCACCTCACTCAATGCTCTATTTCCCTTCTCCTCTGTGAAGCACAAAGAACCCAGGAAGTGCTTCGGCGAACCCCGTGGCCTTCGAGCCAAAATCTAGCCGACTCTAGCCACCTCACTACGTGTTATAGGTACGAACCTCTTCCTCTCTCTATTAGCTTCAATTCTAGGGGTAGATCGTCAAGTCTAGTTGGGTACGGAGTCGATCGGAGGTCGGGAAACTCTGGTCTTCTCCCTCGCAAAACCAGGTCATACCCCACCCGAGACATTAAATCGGGTCATCTAGCCCGGAGCTTTGGGTCGGGCTTTCAAGCCCAAAGCCCATTAAAACCCAAGCCTAAAATCCATTTAAACCCAGGCTTTTAGGCCGTGCTGACTTGGGCCTTCAACCCAATGAACCTAGGCCCAAACTCACTGAACCCAGCCCAGTAACCAAGCCTAACCTAAGACTCGGATTCGGCCCAAACCTAGTCGATTCCCAGACTTCAGGCCACGCGTGGGTCCGTACGTAGGCCTACGCGTGGGTGCACGTGAGGGCAAGCCTGTGCTGGAGTGTAAAGTCCACGTGCTTCCGCTGGAGGGGCTGTGCTCCACCGTCCACAGCTGCGCCGACGCCTTTTTTCGACCAACTTTCCAACGACCTATCTCTGCGCGTGGCTGCTGGGGCCGCAACCTTGCAGCAGCGCGTGAGGGCGCGTGGGTACCCGAGGTCCCACCTTATGTTTTTCGACGTCCTAAATCGCGGCATTTCCGTCCCTCCTTTTTCACATGGCTCTTCGACGACAGAGTATCTGTGAGTGGACCCCTTCTAAATGCATATTTTGCTATTAGAAATGCATACATGAAAAACATGATTTAATGGTTACGTTTTATGAAATGTTTTATGACTAAATTATTTTTTACTATTTATAAGATATCATGCTTTACTGAGAATATTTTGGAATACCATACTTTATCTATTTCATGTTCTTTGTAGTATATATGATGGATGACTATATACTATGAAGATGTTTTGAGATATGATGTTTGAGCTATTGAGCTCCCTTGAGATATATGTACTTATGTTGGAAAGATTATATACAATGTTTTGTGCTTATCTAGTGGTCATTGTTTTGCCTATGGGCGTATGTTCTGCCTACTGGTGTATGTCCTGCTTACGGGCAATTGTTCTGCCTACGGGCGTATGACCTGCTTACGGGCTCGTGAAGGAGAGCCTTCGGGCTATTATGATACCACTATTTAGCACACTATATATGATATATGTTTTATGAAAGGTTTTATGGCATGTTAGGTTTTCGAAAAACCTATCACCCATTATACTAGTAGTTTTCATAAACTTTAGGGGTTAGTATGTTGTGGAATAACTATGTTTGTACTACTTATATACATCAACTTGGTCCACTCATGTTTGTTTTGCACACCCTCATGACATAGGAACGAGGCAAACGATCCGAGCTACAAGGCATTCCCCTACCAGTGATATCGCGCCATCCTCTCTGCTTCGACATCACTTGTAACAGCACATTCCGCTTGTATTTCTGAATTAGATGTATACTATGAACATGTCATGCATTATCACTATCATTTTATTGACGACTGAATATTATTATATTATTTTGGTAAGGTTTGTATTTGAATATTATGTTTTGTAGTTCAAGCGAAATTTATATGCATGTTTCACATGTTCTCGGCATATGCATTCATTAAATGGCTTTCGTCACCATCGGGTGTCAGCCAGCACGTGGTCATCCCGCTGTCCCCCGGACATCGGGATCGAGGCGTGTCATAATTAAATTTTATTTTCTCTATTTTTAAACACTTAAGAAGCACGTAGTGCCAGTTATAAAAAATAAAAAATAAAAAAATAAGGTCTTTCACACACGCAAAATAATGTGATTCAATTAGTTGTCAAATGATCCCCTTTTTTTTTAACAAACGACGTTATCTAGGTTGGCTTAGCCTCACAATGGGCTAGCAATAATATGATTCAATCAATTGTTTATTAAATATTATTTTCTCTATTTTTAATGTAAATTCAATAAAATGTAGATGGAGATTGAAAGACTAATTTTATTATGTGAATTTAGTTGCTTTGATTGGTTTGTGAGGAGTTTCTTCTAGCATAGACTAATATTATTCATTTAGTCCAAATATTTTGAATTTCTTTTTGCCATAAAAAAAATATTGAAGCAATTCACTCATATATATACATTTAAAATGTGTGAGTTGCGTGTAGCATGCTGTGATTCAAAAAATACATTTTGTACGGCTCAAGCGCGGCTAGTCATATTATTAGTTTAATTAGAATTTAAATAATAAAATCGTTTGTAATCGCATTAGTTTAGTCAAGGTTTAAAATAATAATATTGTTTTTAATCATAATTGTGAATAGCCAAATTAGTTAAAGTAATTAATTATGAAGTAAAAATCGTAAATTAAAATCTATCACAGTGTAATTTAAATTAGATTGAAATTTATCCGATAAGAAAAAGTTAAAAGACCAAAATGAAAGAAGCCTCAAAAGTGTGGGGAGCAAAAGATGAACTTACACCATAAGCTTAAAGACTTGGAAAAAAAACCAACTTTCAAAAGACCAGTGCTTTGAGTGACAAATGGGCCCTTGATGGGCGTATATAAATACAACTTAACTGAAATGTTGCTTCCCCACACAATCTAAAACACTGATCAATAATCACAGTTCAGAGTTGAGAGAGAGATGAGCAGTGGCAGTAGCAGCAGCAGCATGACAACTGAAGAAGGCGATGCAGAGAATGTGAATGTGATCCTACTACCTGGGTTCAGATTCTACCCCACTGATGAGTTGCTGGTCAGCTACTACTTGAGGAACAAGATACAGGGCACCGACTCTCATTTCTGCCACCTCATCCCTGAAATGGATGTCTGCAAGTACGAGCCCTGCGATCTTCCTGGTAACCCCACTAATCTGTCTCACTTTTTCTTCACTACCCGTATCTTATTTCTAATGGATTCTGCTGTTGTTTATGTAAATTTACAATCTTGTTCGATTTTTCTGTTTTTTTCTTCCAGAATTGACTTGGGTTGGTTTCCACTTTTTGTTTACTGTTGTATGCATAAATTTATGATCTTTTCAGTTTTCTGTTGTATGCATAGCTTAAGAGTATTAATATCGTTTGTACCTCAAGAATTGAAGTGGGTTAGTTTCAACTTTTGAACATTTGGTTTTGTTGTTGGATTTTAGCATTCTTCCCAGAAGTCCATGAGAAGGAGTGGTTCTTCTTTACCCGGCTCGATTACAAGTACAACAACGGCACTCGCTGCAACCGGGCCACGGATCAAGGCTTTTACAAGATCACAGGAAAGGAGCGGGAGATCAGAGCTGAAGAATCCAAGGCTGTGGTTGGGAAGAAGAGGACCCTGACATTCTACGAAGGTCGTGTACCGAAATCAAAGAAGACCGATTGGATAGTCCATGAGTATTATCTCACAGAAACTGAGGTGGGTTCTAAACCCACCAAGCAGAAGGACTTTGTCCTCTGCCGCCTGAAGAACAAGTCAGCTAGTTATAAGTAAAAGAAATGGATTGAATATATTATTATCATACACATCTGCTGCAATAGCAGCAGATATTTATATACATCAAAATACACACGCATGCAATAAAGAAATATACTTTGCTGTCCACAATGCTGCAGTCCATGTGAAGACTGCTGTCCACCATACTGCAGTTCATGTGAAGACCTTTGCTGTCCACGATTCCTGTGAGTGGAGCATCTTCGACAGAAGAGAATGGCTTCCATTAAAATAAGCCATTAGAATAATCTTCACAACAGACATTAGAAAAAGCCATTAGAATAATCTTCACAACAGACTTCATCTAACAGCCCCCCGCAAGCTAACAGGGGGTGGTACAACTGGGAGCTTGGAGATAAGGAACTGAAATCTGGACGAAGACAATCCTTTAGTGAAAATATGTCAGCAAGTTGGTCCTGGGAACACACATAATTGACCAACAACTGACCACGAACAACCTTCTCACGAACATAATGATAGTCAACCTCAAGATGCTTGGTTCTCGAATGAAAAACCGGATTGGACGCAAGGGCAATTGAAGAAACATTGTCACACCAAATGGTTGGTTGAACCAGATGGAGATGGAGGTCTTTATAAAGAGACCTTAACCATGATAACTCTGCTGCAGTATAAGCTAACTGCCTATACTCTGCCTCTGCACTCGACCTCGATACTGTCTTTTGTTTTTTTGAACTCCAGGATACAAGGTTGGAACCCAAATAAACACAGAAACCACCTGTGGAGTGACGAGTATCGGGGTTGCCAGCATAATCTGCATCAGAAAATGCTGTCAACTCCACAGTTCCTGGTTTATACAATAGCCCATGATTATACGTAGCCTTCAGATACCGTAGGATTCGCTTTACAGCCATCCAGTGCGTTGTTTTTGGAGAGTGCATGAACTGGCACACTTGATTCACAGCATATGATAAATCTGGCCGAGTGATCGTAAGATACTGTAGTGCCCCAACAACACTACGATACATCTCTGGATTGGCAAAAGGATCTCCAGCATAGGCACTCAACTTCTGACCCAGACGGCACTGGAGTGGAAATGGGCTTTGCGTCTGTGAATGTAGTTCTAGTCAGTAGATCCCCGAGCATATTTGGACTGACAGAGATGCATGAAATCACCATTATACGTGACCTCAATACCCAGGAAATAACTTAGTGATCCCAAATCCTTCATTGAAAACAAACTACCAAGTTTCTTAATCAAATGATCCATCTGGCGAGGACTATTCCCTGTGAAGAATGAATGTCATCAACATAGATTAAAAGAATGAGATATACACCCCGTTGATTTAAACACAAACAAACAAACTGTAATCACATGTGGACTCCTCAAAGCCCAGTTGAAGCAAGAAATCTGAGAAGCGTTGGAACCAAGCCCTAGGTGCTTGTTTTTAAACCATAAATAGAACGTTGCAGCTTACAAACATGATTTGGAAAACTGTTTGTCAATGAAGCCTGCCTGATGGTTGCCGCATGTAAACATGTTCATTTAAGTAGCCATGCAAGAACGCATTTGATACATCCAGTTGGCGGACAGGCCATTTCTTTGACACAGCAAGACTTAAGACAAAACGAATGGTGCTGTGTTTAACCACAGGACTGAAAGTTTCAGTGTAATCCACGCCAGCCTTCTGATGAAAACCATTAGCCACTAACCGAGCTTTATGACGCTCAACAGTGCCATCCGCTTTGCGCTTAATTTTGAACACCACATTTATTTGGCAGTACATTCATTGTCAGATTGATGTGGAACTAAACTCACACGTGCCACACCTTTGTAATGCCATTAAAATTCTTTGCACCATAGCTTCCCTCCACTCAGGATGCTTGACTGCCTGACTGAAGCATGTTGGTTCAAAGGTTGGTTCAACAGGAATATCTTTAATGGTAAACATGCATAGCATACTTTGGATTGGGTTTGACAAACTCCAGACTTGGAACGTGTAGTCATAGAGTGGCAGTATCACTAGACACATTAGGTGGCAAAGAATGTGAATTGACTAACACTTGCTCATGTGATTGTAGTGTGGATCCTAAGGAATGGTTAGATGGTAATGGTATTGGGGTGGAGATGTTAGACCAGAGAGGAGAGAAGATAGATGTGGCTGTAGAAACGTGATAGAGAGTATCAAGAGAGGACTGGGCACTATGGGTATTTGGATTTTGTGTGTAGTAGGACACACAGGAACAGTTGTGGTTAAGGGAAAAGTAAATAATAATTGGGGTAAAAAGATTGTTACCTTGGCTGCAACGCTTTCAGGAGGAGATGTGAGTCCCCTTAAAAGGGAAAAAATCCTTCATCGAATAGACATGGCAGAGACAAGAAACTCGTCTTTTGGACAGATCCAAACAACATTTGTATCCTTGATGATCAAGAGAATACCAAGAAAGACACATGACTTGGGATTTTGGTTGTAATTCTATTTGATTGATTATATGGTGTTAACAAGGAAAAACAACGACAACCAAAAATTTAACTTTTAACATGGCATAATTTGGTTTTCTTTGAAACAATTTTCAATTAATATGTTTGATCATATGGTTTAACCAAGAACAAAAAATTTTTAACAAATAATGTTTCATAAGGACATATTTCTATAGCAGTTTTGTTAAGCATGCATCAAACCAATAGACTTTTATTAGGTATATTAGCATGCATTCAACCAAAACTTATTAGGCATATGAAATTGAAAAAGCATAACAATACTGGTTTCGACAATGTGTCGGTGTTTCCGTTCTGCCAATCCATTTTTGTTCAGGATGTTTTGGACAAGAAAAAAAAAACGTTGAGAAATTCCATGGACGCCAAGAAAAGTTTTGAAAGCATGACTTTTTTATATTCACCACCTTCATCACATTGAAGGTTTTAAATAATTGAACAGTTAAACATCTTTTCAACCTTAACTTTAAACTTTACAAATATGTCAAAAACTTCAGATTTTTGTTTCATGGGAAAGATCCAAGAATATCGGGAATAATCATCCCACAACAGATAATATAACGAAAACCTTCATTTAGAAATAATTGGAGAACACCACACATCAGAATGTAAAAGTTGCAAAGGAAATTGAGAGACAGACTCAGACTTACTGAAAGGTAACCGAGTACTCTTTCCTAAAGGACATGACTCACAAAAGATGACATTAGATGTACCATGAATTGGTACAAATTTATTTGAAATTAAAAACTTGATTATTGGTTTGGCAGGGTGACCAAGACGAGCATGCCACTTTTGAACAGACACCCTAACGCCCACAAACGCAGAAACTGGATACTTGAGGTGACCACTGCCATTTGGAAATGGGTATAACCCATTCTCACATCTCCCTCGGAAAAGCGTCTTCCGTGTCTTGAGGTCCTTAACAAGGAAAAAATGTGGAAAGATTAGTAAATAACAGTCATTGTCTAAGGTGAACCTATGGGCGGAGATGATATTGGTAGAAGCAGTAGGGCAATGAAGGATATCTTGTAAAGCAAATGAGCAAGCAGTAGTATTAAGTTGAGTTGAACCACAATGTGCAATAGAAATTCCAGAAGTATTACCTATACCTCCCACACCATCTTTACCAGTATAGTCTTTAGGATTTACCAAATTCTGAAAGTCGGGAGTAATATGTGCGTTGGCACCTGTGTCCAGGAGCCAATTTCCATTTTGCTGCTTGTTGATGGGGATGGTGGAGGACGTCATTGCCGAGAGACGTTGGGCAGGAATTCGGCCTTCAAAAGCAGTATTCATGCGGTGGTAGCAGTCAAGAGCGGGATGTCCAGGTTTGCCGCAGATTTGGCAAACAATGCGATCACCATATGAAGCCGATCTTTCAATATTACCTGAAGGATTGCGCTGATAATTATTATTACGTGGGTTGTAGCTTCTTTGAGCACCACGAGTGGTTGGAGAGGTGCCTCGTCCATTTCCACGAGAGCGGCCTCCACCACGGCCTCTAGACGCAATGAAGGCATTGACAGTAGCACCTTCCACCAAAGGGACAGTTTGGTCCGCCATTCTTCTTTCGGTTGTGAGCAGGAGTGCTTCAAGAGTGGGATACGTGATAGGATTATCACGAGCTTGTGCAGCACTTACTGTCATCTCAAAGGCCGGTCCAAGATTGTTCAACACAATCTGCACGAGCTCATCATCACTCACAGGATGCCCAGCTAGGGCAAGGTTATCAGCTATCGCATTCATGCGATCTAGGTAATCCACCACAGATAGATCACCTTTCTTGGTCTGCAACAACTCATTTCTCAAAAACAAAATTCTATTTTGAGAAGTAGAGGCGTACCTTTGCTCAAGAGCTTCCCAGGTTGCTCGAGCAGTTCGTTTGCTTGCCACCACAGACAAGACAGAGGTAGTTAGAGAACCATTTATCCAACTGAGGATCATTTGATCCTGTTGTACCCAGGCAGTATACGCTGGGTTTCAGAGTGGTTGCACCAGTCACAATGTTCTTTGTTGAGAGACATCGTTTGACCAGACTGCTCGAACCCTGCACATTCCACAACATTTTGTGAAGTGCCCATCAGATCGCCTACGTTTTTGAGGTATAGAGAAACGTATTTTGAGCCATAACCAACTAATGTGCGCGGGTATCGTAGGTATCTGAGTTCCAGTGTTTTGTCATACTACATAAGTATGCAACAACATGAAAACGATTAGTAGTATACGTACGTGTGCTCCTCATGGCGTCAGGGTGGTCTAGCATATTTGACACTAGCTCAGTTAACATTGGGTTCACCATGGATAAGTGTCTCGAGGATGTGGCATTTGTATGTAGGAAACGTATATGCATCTCAGTGGTAAGTGCATCTCGCTCTGCATCGGTGTATTACAAATAAATAAATTAGATAGCATCTGAGAATACCATGATAACACACGGAATCTGGATTGATAGGACAAATTTTTAATGCTAATATCATCATCTTCATGCGTCTGTCTTTAGCACCAAAAGCAATGACAATGATTAATTTAGTAGTTTGCCATACATTAATATTAATGATTC